ATTTTGCGACGCAGGAAAAGAAAATGGTCCAGATAGTTCTTCGGATATCAAGGGATCTTCTTCGCTGATTCTGATTTCCGGCATCCGCGGAAAAGACTGGTCATCCGACTCCTTCGACGAAAACTGCGACGTAATGAAGAAATTTTTTTTTACTGTATTTAACAATTCAAATTCTCAACGATTCCCAGCTTCCCCATACCCACTGGAAAGTCACGACAGGCGTCGAGAATTCGATCAAAACTAATCCAACCCCACCGAAATCTAACCTTATCAACTTCACACAAAATTTCGGAATCCAGAATAACCCACGAGATCCTGATACAGTAAACATTGCAACCTAAATAAGCCATACTTGCACTCAAAAATTCGAGCGACACCTACATAGCGAAAAATAAATTCAGGGATTCGAAAACGTGGGTATCGTATCAACAGCGCCTAAGCTCGATCAGAAGTACAGAAATCATACGCAATGTATTCAACGAGAGGTAGTACTGAAATGCGTCATTGATCGGGAAACGGTAATTCAAAAAAGAATATGATTGTTGCAAACGAAAATTAAAAATTACAATCATGAGGAAATGAACGGCTTACAAACTGAGCTTTTCCAAGTTATCTCCACTGATAAAATACATATTTTAATAACATGCAATCGTTCAAGTTCGTGAGCATCTTTCAACGAATGATCACATAAAAAGTCACCCAATCTCATAAATTCCATTTTTTACTTCCGGCTTCAAAGTACCCTCGATGATCGGACATATTCAAAAATTAATTTGCTGTACACTTGAACTTGCCCCATGCGACCCCCAAACAATACTCCTCACAAACTTGAAAAAAAATAAAAAAAAAAAACTACCGTAATTTCAGACAGCAACGAAATAAGGAGCAAACATTTGCAGATCATGGCAATGGAACACGGGACAAATCACGAACATGCAATGCAACTATTTACCTTTTCCGAACACCGGATTCCAGCAAACACTTTTCATTCAGCACATCAGCTAACATCACCCTAAGGACAAAAACAAAACCCGGAGCAAAGAAACTGCCTCAAATCAAGCACAACAACACGTAAACGATGAACACAATACAAAGCACACCGGAATTAAAATCTCATGTAAAAATTAAACGACAGACCCCGGGAATCCAGACAAAGAACCACACGAATAAAAGACACCCGGATTAAAAAGGATAATCCCTCACGGTTTTCTGCTGTTGATGATCCAGCACGGATAAAATTCCACAGGAAGAAACAAAATCGTCACTGACTACCGTGTTGGGATCCGCGTCGCTGGCCGAGAAAGACGCCGAAGTCGCCATTGTCGGAACTAACAAAGCATCTGCAGGTTCCATACCTCCCGCTTGCTGTAATTCAAAATTCCTCAATTGAAAAATGGCATTACTCTACAAAAAAAATCGAGAGTTTCAACATTCCTCAGTCATTCCGATTAAAAAATTCGACCTTCGAAACGAACTGAGGAAATCGAAGCATTGCCCTGGCAACACAAAGTAAAATTCAAAGTTTCGACGTTCCTCATAAGAATCACTTTTTCCGGACCTATTGACGTTCGTATTCCACAGCATCATTTTGATTTATTCTGTCATGTTGCAGAGTTACAGACTGATCAGAAAAAATTTAAATGAGCTTCAAGGCATTTTTCCACGAAATGCAACATTGTAACTGTTTCGACGAAAAACCATCAATATTCCGGAATAAGTCGCATAAATTGGGACCCCGACGTACGGACGCCTCAACATAAGGACGATTCAACTTCAGGACACTCGAAACTGAAGAAACATATGCTCAATATACGGACACTGCCGTAAACTTTCTTCTGATAAATTTGAGATTTCCTCACTCGTCG